AGCTTGACTGATCAGGCCAGCAACCAAGAAACTTGGTCTGGGGCCGGACCATGGGGGGAGGGATGACTTTTGGAAGTGACTACCGATAACCTACAGGTACTCATCCCCCCTCCCTGCATTACCCCCTCCCTGCCATCCCCCCCCCCTCCCTTCCTACCTACCTCCATCCCTCACTGATTCGTCACCCCTCTCCTTCCACTCCCTTACTTTCTATTCTCACTCCTTTCGCTACTCCCTCCATCTGTCACCCTCTAACTCACTCACTCACTCACTCACTCACTCACTCACTCACCCACTCACTCACTCACGTAATTTTAGGATAATAGTAACAAAGAATTTTTTCATATGAAGAGAAAGTTAAGTGTGAGCGAAAGTTTCACAAGTTTCTAATTCATTTTATTTACTTATGATTCAGCACTTTATAAGTTTTTTAAATTATAAATTAACAGAGTTATGAACGAGTATTACCATGACGTGAACGAAACGTTTCGAAAATTACCAAGCAGTGCGGGACTCCTGGTCCCACCGCGCCATGATCATGTAGAAGCGCCTAACCCGTAGGGGTCGCACAGGGCCTGAAGAATGGGAGGCAATCAGGTTTGAGCCAGTTCACTGGATCAAGAGCCTTCCACCAGCGTTAAGGCACCGCCCCTCTCCCCTTCACATATTTAAAAAAATGTATGACGTGGGGAGTAAAATCTAAGATTTTGCATTTTGATCTAAAAATCATCAATTTTAAGTCAAAATACTTTTTATTTTAGTGTTAAGTAGAAAATAATCCGAATGTGACAATGGTATTAAATACTGATAAGTTGATAAGTAACGCATAAGTGTAACACTTAGGTATCTTTATTCCGAAACGTTTCCCCTTCATAGTAGGCTTCTTCAGTCGAGTACAGAGGAGGTACAGAAGAAGTAGAGATGTAAAGACGATATAATCAGTCCATCACCCTAGAGGACGTAGTTTTGAGGTGGTCAGTCCCTCAGCCTGGAGAAGAGTTTTGCTCCAGAGTCTGGAACAATGTGAGGCTGAAGCAGCAGTATGGAGACTCAACACTGTCATCCACGAGGCGCAGATAGTCCTGACGACGGGACAGGCGAGGCACACACACCAGTACAAGAAAGCGACTGTTTAAAGGTTTCTTTTGTTTGGCGCTGAGATCCCCGAATTGTTTGGATTTGTGTATAAAGTGTTGCTGCTAGTTCTTTAGTGGTAACACCGACAACATGAAAAATTAAGACACATGGGAAACATCTGAGTGTCTTTACTTTGTAAAAGTTTCGCCAACCAGTGGCTTTATCAATATAATTCAAGAACATAATGGGAAGACTTTAGAAGTATATACAAAAGACGAAGTAATAAGTCCCTCAGTCTTGAAGTAGATGACGAGCACCGTAGTAAACGATGCTTATCATCTACTCCCAGGCTGAGGGACGGACCACAGACTTCCCCAGGCTGAGGGACTGACCACTGACTTCCCCAGGCTGAGGGACTGACCACTGACTTCCCCAGGCTGAGGGACGGACCACAGACTTCCCCAGGCTGAGGGACTGACCACTGACTTCCCCAGGCTGAGGGACTGACCACTGACTTCCCCAGGCTGAGGGACTGACCACTGACTTCCCCAGGCTGAGGGACTGACCACTGACTTCCCCAGGCTGAGGGACTGACCACTGACTTCCCCAGGCTGAGGGACTGACCACTGACTTCCCCAGGCTGAGGGACTGACCACTGACTTCCCCAGGCTGAGGGACTGACCACAGACTTCCCCAGGCTGAGGGACTGACCACAGACTTCCCCAGGCTGAGGGACTGACCACTGACTTCCCCAGGCTGAGGAACTGACCACTGACTTCCCCAGGCTGAGGAACTGACCACTGACTTCCCCAGGCTGAGGGACTGACCACTGACTTCCCAGGCTGAGGGACTGACCACTGACTTCCCCAGGCTGAGGGACTGACCACTGACTTCCCCAGGCTGAGGGACTGACCACTGACTTCCCCAGGCTGAGGGACTGACCACTGACTTCCCCAGGCTGAGAGACTGACCACTGACTTCCCCAGGCTGAGGAACTGACCACTGACTTCCCCAGGCTGAGGGACTGACCACTGACTTCCCCAGGCTGAGGGACTGACCACTGACTTCCCCAGGCTGAGAGACTGACCACTGACTTCCCCAGGCTGAGGGACTGACCACAGACTTCCCCAGGCTGAGGGACTGACCACAGACTTCCCCAGGCTGAGGGACTGACCACTGACTTCCCCAGGCTGAGGGACGGACCACAAACTTCCCCAGGCTGAGGGACTGACCACTGACTTCCCCAGGCTGAGGGACTGACCACTGACTTCCCCAGGCTGAGGAACTGACCACAGACTTCCCCAGGCTGAGGGACTGACCACAGACTTCCCCAGGCTGAGGGACTGACCACTGACTTCCCCAGTCTGAGGGACTGACCACTGACTTCCCCAGGCTGAGGGACTGACCACTGACTTCCCCAGGC